AATAGTGAAGTGAAGCTTGAATATGGATTCTAGTTTGGCATTTTTTTAATATATTGAATTTCACTTTGCTACGAGGCTTCGTTATTTTATTTTATTTTCGTTAAAAGTATTAAATAAATATTGCTTTCCACTAAATCCTTGAGATTTTCGTTCACGAAAATGTCTAAGAGTTGTTGTGGACACTCATATTTGTTGGCAAATCACACGGAGAAAAAGGGAGATGAACTGATCTCTCTCTCTCTCTCTCTTTTTTTTTTCTATTTATTTTTATTCACTAGCATTTTTTTAAAGTCATATATTAGTTAATATTTACAAATTAGCCCCACATATATGATTTTGGAGGAAAATCATTCCATTTTTTTGTCATAATCATAAGCCTATTAGTGAAATTAATTATTCTTGTAAATAATTATCAACTAAGCCATCTGAGATTATGGGTTGATTATATAAATCAAGAATTTGGAAATAACTCTGCTCAAAAACAGGACACATACATACAATACAATGTTGTTCATTGTCTGCATCAGTTTGATTAAAAAAAAAAATTTCAGATCTCAAGTTTTTCCAGCATGGCATGCACCCTGTCACACGTCAGCAGCAGCCCAAGAGAATCGCCGGAAAACGGGCTCCGCCGTTCATTTTCGGCCAAGGATTTGCAAAGACGAGCCGGAATCCGAAGGTCGTATTCAGACAACAACCTCTGCTACTCCATCAAGGCATCCTCGAAGCTGAAAACGAGCCGTTCGGTCGGCTTCTTCAACATAAACTTATCGAGCACGATTATCCACGACACGTTTAGGTCGTTTATTTTCGAGCGCGAGCCAAGTCCGGAGGAAACTAGCGGTTTTAGCGAGGATGAGGGGAAAGAAAAACGGGTCAATTGGGTCGAGAGGTTAGTCGAGCTTCGGGATGATTGGCGAGATAGAAAGGACGAGGAGGTTGGTGATGACGTGGAAAGCGGAGGTTGTGACGAGGAAAGAGGGTGTGACGTGGAATATGATGATGATGACGTGGATTCGGATGACGAGGAAGAAATTCGCATCGATAGAGAAACGTTTACGTCGTTGTTGACGAACGTTTCGTGGTCGGATACTAAGAAATTCTCTCAATTAGCTTTCTTGTGCAACATGGCGTACAAGATCCCGGATATGAAGGTAAGAAGCAACGAATGTAGCTAGCTCGTTTTTTTTTTAATTAAAATGTACCATCGTCTCACGAAAAAAGACTCGATCTTTGGGTTGTCTTTTAAATGGCAAAATTGTATATAAAATATAAATGCACCCCCTTTAAGGTTTATGCAATTTAATCACCACATTTTGAAATTTGCGTTTAAATCACCATATTTCATATGATTTGCTGATCGAAACATAAATTTAACATACTGTCGATTAGAGTTGACTTGGCACAGACGGAAAGTCTACATGGCTCTTAGGTGTGCTATCGACGGCGGAAGTTAATTTTATGCTTCAATCTGCAAAACATATTGAAAGGTGGCGATTTAAACGCAGATATAAAAAAATAGTTATTAAATTTCAAAAGTCTTAAAGGTGGTGCCTTTATATGCAATCTTGCCTTTTTAAATTGTTCCTTAAACCTTAAAAGTCAAAACACATGCAGACCGAAGATTTGAGGAGGTATTACGGCCTCGAATTTGTGACATCGTCTTTGGAGAAGAAAGCAAAGGCGAAAGAGAAAGTCGAACGTGACTCGACTAAAACTAAATCAGAGCACGAAAAAAATCCCGAGCAGATGAAGCCACCGCGCACACGCTCGTACGACCGAATTGCTGTGTCAGCAGCCTCATTCGTGCAGTCTCGAGCGAAAGAGGAGACAGACGGAGGTTGCTCGAGGGCTGCGCGTGTGGCGGCTTCGACTGTAACGGCGGTGGTTGCCGCTGGCGAGAGGGAGAAAGAGAAGGCGGCAAAAGATCTCCAGTCGCTTCATTCTTCCCCGTGCGAATGGTTCGTTTGCGATGATCCCGGGATTTATACTCGTTGCTTTGTCATTCAGGTAAAAAAATTAAAAATTAAAAATANAGGGAACGGATGTGCTCGTGCACAGGGGAATATACGAAGCTGCAAAGGGAATATACGAACAGCTAATGCCGGAAATCAAGCAGCACCTGGAAAGATACGGGTACAGAGCAAGGCTTCAGTTCACGGGCCACTCGCTCGGAGGAAGTCTCGCGCTTCTCGTAAACTTAATGCTTCTTGCAAGAAACGAAGTCGGGCCCAGTTCTCTACTGCCAGTGGTCACTTTTGGGTCGCCTTTTGTATTCTGCATGGGCCAGAAGATATTGGACTGTTTGGGCCTCGACGAAGATCACGTTCACTGTGTGTTGATGCATAGAGATATTGTCCCGAGAGCCTTCTCGTGCAATTACCCGGAATATGTAGCCCAAGTGCTCAAGCGATTGAACGGCACTTTTCGCCTCCACCCATGTCTTAACAAGAATGTGAGAAAAAGAAAAAAAAAATAAAAAAATACCATCTTTGGTGTTTTTGTTCGATAAAAAAGCTACCTTTTTAATGTTGTACATTTTTTGCAGAAACTATTGTACTCTCCCATGGGAAAAATATTCATACTCCAGCCGAACGAGAAGTCTTCGCCACCTCATCCATTACTCCCTTCAGGCGGGGCCCTCTACGCATTAAACAACACGAACGAAAGCTCTCTTCTGACTAAAAGTGCCGTTCGAGCTTTCATGAATTCACCACACCCAATCGAAACTCTGAGTGACCCAGCAGCTTACGGTTTGGAGGGCAATATTGTCCGGGACCATGACTCGAGCAATTACCTTAAAGCGGTTAATGAAGTAATAAGGCAACATACGAGGCTTGTCGTGAGGAAAGCAAGGGAAGAGAGGAACCAGCTATGGCCGCTGTTGACTTCCAGGTCGCCTCACGAATGGAGCCACGCTTGTAATGTCGAGGGCCGGGAGACTCGAGTGAGTGAGAAAATGTTGACTGGGGTTTGAGATTCTTGATTCAAGTAAATCTGCAAAATAAAAGTGGAGTTTTCTTTCTGGACATGGATTTTGCTTTCTGTGCTGTAAATAAGATTTTACAGACTCTTTGGTTTTCTGGTGTATAAATAAGGTGGTGATATTATTATTCATAAAGGAATACTTGCAAAAATTTCTACTCAAGAACAAGATCTCATTAATTAGTATAATAGTATGTATTTAGATATTTGTCCTACAAATGAGTTTATAGTAAAATCTAATTCTAATCCGATGATATTACAACCTTTCATCACCTACAACATATATATATATATATATAAAAAAAAAAAAAAAAAAAAAAAAAATAGCGGTTGTTAACATGTCCGAGCTTCCAGTTGCAAAGCTTCCAAATCTTCACAAGGCTATTTTACACACCAGTCGTGCCACATGGAAACAACCACTCGTGCGATAAACACAGCTTTATCGGGTAAAAGATCGTGCAAAATTAGCAGAACTGGATTTGCCATTCGACGTCAGTTTATGCCTCAGTAGAAGCTTGAAGGAAGTGCGGCAACCCCACCCTCAAGATGATGGTGTTTCTTTTAAGCCCCAAAATAGGAAAAAAAATCAACCCCTGTTGTTAAATCATAAATGTACAAGAATCAATATCGCCAAGTTTAGGAAGAAGTGATACATTTTTCCGGGAAAGAGAATGTGCCAAATTAAGAAACCATGATTCAGGATCTGAATTCAGATTCTTCAAACAAACAGCCAAACGAATAAAATATCTGCAATTGCGCAAGGCAGCTATGCATGATTGAATATGATATGACATCCCATATTTGCACGAGTTCAAGGCCAGTGTACTGTGTGTATGATCAAACGAATTCATAAAAAATCTTACTCAGACGAAATAAAACCCAAGTTCGCCCGCTAACACTATCCAGCCATCTAAGGACTCAGTTCTGAAAATAATGTGAATGGATAAAATACTCCTAGAGGTTTAATCTAATCGAGTAAACAGAGAAGAACTCCACTACCTTTCAAGATTACAATTATCCTCTGCAAAACTGAAATATTCAGTTTTTCTGTTTTTTTAGTTTAGTTGGACCTTCAAGGCTTCAGCTAGAGGAATTTATAATAACTTAAAGATACTTCTCCTTTTGTTGGGTTATTAGCTTAAACACAGTATAAACATGAAACCAGAGAATGATGATATAAAGCAGCTCAAGTTGTAATTATCAGATGAATTAGATAATTTCACACTCAGCACCTCTGATGATGTGGCGAAGCTGGCTGATCTGGAGAAGAATAGTGGTCAGAGCCATCATGAAGCCTGTGATCCTGAAATAACCTGGCTCGAGTCCCCTCATTCACCTGTAATTGCTCATCTATACCTGGCAAGTCCAAATGGCCCACAGAACCAAACTCGAGCTGCTCACCGTACACAGCATTATTATGGTCAAAAGGATATAGCATCATGAAAGGTGGGCCAGAGGGCCTATTAGAAACTCCGTTGGGATTTGTAGCTGATAAAGAGTTCATGTTGTATGGCACTATTTGGGGACCATTTTGACTAAAGCTTGAGCTCGACTGACCATTCTGTGATTGATAAGGGAGAGTTTCGTGCCTATATGAGGAGTTCCATGAACGGTCAGCTAGATTCTCAGCAGAAGTCAATCGGTCAGTTCGAGAATTTGACTTGTCAGTTTGGTTGCGGCCATGATTTCGTATGGAACCTCGAGATTTTGGATTCGAGTTCCAGTTTCCCTCTTTGTCACCATAGTTATCATTTCTATCATAGTTATTGTGATTTCCTCTTCTTGTACCAGAAGAGTGTCGCTCCCTGTTGGGAATCTTCTTGAGCCATGCAAAAAAAGTATTATACCATGAGTCGTAAATTTAGAAATTACATTATAAAGAGTATATTCTCAATTTCAATAAAACTCAGGAATGTTTAGTCCAAAAGATGGAAACATAATGATATGCCAAGGGTTTCCATTAAATTACGTTCATCAAAAGATGGAATTTTATACAACAGGGGTTCAGTTAAATTACATTCATCATATAAAAAAAAATAGCTCCATGTACACAACTCCCATCGCTATGCATTTGCATGATGAATAAAAGCAAAAGCAAAGTCAGTTTCATTAACCAAAAGTAAATAAATGAGTCGATCATTCAAATGTCGCAAGACGAAAGAACTTGCCCAAATAGGATAATAAACAACGCATACATAGCAAAAAAAACACAATTATAAAGGGTATCCTTACAGGATTTGGCAGGTAAGTCCCAGTCCCACTCCTGTATCTCGGCATGCCATCAATGTAATTTTGATAAAAAATAGGTCTACTTGAAACTGATTGGAGAGGAGCCACAGGTAACAAACGTTGACCGTGACTCGTCATAAGCTGAGAGAAAAGGTTAGTATTGGTAGAAAAAGGTCTACCAGAACTATCATACGGGAATCGGCCACCCTGTAAATAAGCAGGTAGGACCATGAAAGGCGAAGGATACCCAAACTGCCCCCCATTGTGCCGTGAGTTCTGACAGAACCTCCCAAACTGTAAATTTTGCCAATGGCTTGCGAAGTCACTGTTCAGAATATCAGGTTTTTTCTTTCCTGAGGTCTCTGAGTTGTGAGCAGAGTCACTGTTCTCCGAGGCTTCATCAGCTCTAAAATGGCCACTCGATGAATCGGAAGTACTCGCCTCAGGTGGAATATTGTACACTGGCAGCATTGTTAGAAATGGTATTGGAGGGCCAGTAGGATAGAATGTAACCATCCCAGAATTATCATTCATTCTCTGTCTTGAGCCACCTGGACCAATGAGCATCGGGGAAAAAGGAATCGTTGAGTCAGATCCACCACTTGCTTGAGCAACTTCAAAGCCTGATGATATATTCCAAGAATTTCTTTCCAATGCCTCAGCATCCTCGTTCTCGATGCCGGTTTGGCCAGAAGCTAATTCAGCAGATGATAATATTATTTTCTTTCCGCGTTTTTCTTTCATAGATTTAGGCGTTTTAGCTGATGATGATTCATCCCCGGAGTTTTCTGAGGAAGCCATACTCCTCAAAGAGTTGTTATGGATTGCCGATGAGAATCTCAAAGTTACCGATCTTTCTTCTGCATAAATCTCACTGTTACTGTCATCCTTGATTGAGAGGAACTCGCTATTTTCCCTCTCAGAGCTATTCAATCGATGTGGGGGAATATATTTCAAACCAGAAACAGACGCCGGCCGTTTATCATCAGAAGCATGAGTTTCGGGTTTCCCATTCTCAGGTCCAACATTTTGCTCGTTCCAGAAATCATCGCTATCTAAGTGCTCGACAGGAGTTTCTGAAGGTGAAGTCACCCCAACACCGGAAAAATAATGTGGCGAAAGGAAATTAGAAGGAAATTGCAAATTTGACAATGATGGGTCCATCAGCGGAACATTATTCGCCGGAAAAAATCCCGGAAGGTTCGGTTGAGCATATCCCATCGAGGCAAGGAAGGATGGTGGAATAGAGAAAGGCAAGTGATGACCTGAATTTAAATTGAACGGAACTTGAAATTGCCCGTTTAGACCTTGAAGTGAGGCGGATGCCATCATGTTCACGATCTCTTGTTCTTCCTCACCTGGCGCGTTAGCATGCAAATCGAGACTCTGTTTGGATGGGATTTGAGTGTTTATGGTTTCTGATTTTCTGTTGTGCCCTGTTTGGGAAGATAAATCGCCATAAGCAACGGTAAGTTCAGGGCTAGAAGACGTACGAGCGAGAAAACGGCCATGAATATCATTCGCCCCACGATTAGCCTTAGAACTTTCCTGAGTCTCGTCATCGACCATCACCCAATCAGAGGTATTATCCGTTCGAATTTGATCAGAGGCACGAGAGCTGTTTAACGTTTGACTTTTCAGATTTTTCATGCGAGAAGCAGAGTTTTTTCCGTGATGAGAGGGAATACCGTGAGTGCCCCTGTCCTCTGTACTGTAGAGGGAAGGAGTTTTGTTTTGATTTACATTGTTTTTGCTTGAAATATTACCGGAATTACTGAATTCATGAATAGAGTCTATCCCAGGTGTATCGGGCCTGTGACCACTACCATGTCTATCCCATGTATTTGTAAAGAACTGATTAACTTCGAAAAATAAGTTTTCTTCTGGGCAGTCGAGCAATCTGGCCAGTCTTTTGGCTCCAAAAGCAAATGCACTTCTGATCCTAAAAAAATTACCTGACAAATAGAAAAAAGTAAGATCAGAATAACCAAAAGGATTCCATGAGTCATTGTTTCACACTCATAGCAGTAACCACTGGAAAAAGTGAAGAAGAAAATCAAAATACACATGGAACTGAAGCCCAGATGCTTATTAGTTAGAAATTCCCTTGACAACTGGGTTACTTTCTACCATTCTCCAAGCACAGATAACTATTATGTAGACAAATATGCTACCAGTGGTCTAAGTGATGACCTAAGTGAAAAAGAAAAAAAAAAATAATAATAATAATAATAATAATTAAATAACATTACCCCCAGCAAATCAGCTGCAAGTTACAGGCCCGATTATATAATAAAAAAGATCCTCAAAAAGTTAAGAATTCTCTTTCATCAATGACTAAATAAATTAAATAAAAAACATTGACCACCTAAGGTTGCAATCGAGTACCCAAAATATCCCGATTTCATTCAATTTGAAAGATTTTTTTGGTCCAAAACAATTAAAATAAATTACCATATATGCATCATTGTTACACATTGTCCATTGCAAATGGAGCTGGAAGAGTCATTGTTGACAATTCTCCTGGCATAGTGCTAACAATGGACTAGATCAAAATGGCTCAATTAAAATTCTAGTGCTTCTTCTATTAGTGAAGTTTCTAGAAAAAAAAATATATCAAACGGCGCAATGCACCTTGGGTCGCTACGGAAACAGCCTCCTTGTATAATTACAAGGGTAAGGTCTGCGTACAACTGACCCCCAGACCCCAACCTGTTGGGAATATACTGGGTATGTTGTTGTTGTTGTTGTTGTTGTTGTTGCATCATTGTTACACAATTTCCCACGAATTCCACATGGCTCCCATTCACATATTTGTAACTACCAATCATATATGACAAAATTTCCTATTTTATCTCATATCAACTTTCATCACTGCATTTTCACCATAAATCCAATCACACTCTAAATATCTATATTTCTAATTCCTGAGAAGTTTTAATCATTTTCATCTGAAAAATAATTCCTGGAACAAACAGAGATTTCTAATCGCACCTAATTTCTCTTCAAAGGAAGACTATGAAGTATATAATGTCCTTAATGAAAAAGGCAGAAGCCTCCACTCAATACACCTAATAATTTCACTAATAAAGACCACAATGAACTAATAGCATACTAAAGGCTGAGACATGTAATCATTTTTATGCATAAACAAGTGATATGTATATAGACTGTCAATGACAGTACCAAAGGTACAAAGACACAAGAAAAGAAGAAACACAATGAAAAAATACATAATAAATAAATAAAAAGAGTAAAAAGACAGGTGTGCATCGCGCCAAGGATTCAACCATAGCAAGGTACATTACAAGCTAAGCTTACCTTTACTAACACTACGCCCAAGATTGTTGTTCACACATAATGGATCAATCACATTAAAATGCTTTGAAACAAATTGTTGTCCATTATTTTCTTGGCCACCTGGGAAAACAGCATACACGGAGCTACAAGCATCAAGAAACAACTTGCTAAGTAGCAATTCTCCACTGTCCTTTCGAGGAGGTTCCGCTGTAAAAAATTGCAAATCAGATCCACCAATCCAAAGACTACTATATCGCCACTAAAAATTAAAGGGGTTAATTACAGACAAATACCATTGAAATTAAAAACCATTACAACAATCCCAGATAACAAACCGTCGTAACGTGTGTTTCAATTCTACAAATTGTGCTTTCCAAAAGAGAAAAATTTGTTCAGTAGAATGCTTGGGGTAACTTAAAGGAATATTTGCAAGAATGAAAGATGTTTTTGTATTTTTGTAATTACATCAACTTTGAAGTAATTTAATATGCATAACTATACGTATAAAAATGAAAAGGTACTGAGACTCTAACCAGTCACATTGGGTAGGGAACTAATGGGTACAGGTCCCCATAAGCTGACACAAAAGTTTTCCCAGTCAAAATTGCTGAAGAACTCCAGAAAACGATAAAGAACCTGCAGAGTAAATAAAGTGTATCAGAAGAGCAATCAGGAGACAGGAATTGTGACATTGACGCAACAATAATTAAGTCACCTCAAGCGGTCCATGAAAGGAACTGTTGAACACATGAAAGATGTAAAGAACTAAGGTCTCCAAGGCATAGGTAGAAATGAGTCCATGATGAGCACCCAATACCCGGCTTTCATAATAGCACCAAGCTTTGATCAAGATAATACTACGCTTGAACAAGTGATCCTGATTTATCAAGTGATCAACCTAAGAAGCAGAAAATCATAAGGCTCTTTCGAATAATGGATCTCCCATTTTAGCTATAGACATCACAATAGCTAATGTTTCAGATATTTCACTAGTGGGTAATGTAAGATGTAAACTAGCAATCACCTCGTCAAGGAAACATAGAGTACACAGCCCGCCAACTTGATTAAAAGATATATCCACCACAATATTTTCCACAAGACATTTAATTATTTTCACCTGCAATATAAAATCAGATGGGAGAAAGGAATATACATAACAGCGGGTATAGGATCAGACATAGAAACTATTAGAAAGGATTTCGGCAATGAATTGAAAACATTCAAATTCGTAACAATGACATGCATTCAACTATTATATATGTCATAATTGAAGACCTCAAGGTTAAGGCCAGTGTATTTCACTATTTTTCTGCCGACACTTGCAGCTAAATCTGACATAAAGGACCAGGAACACATAATGGATAAAGATCATAGAGAGTGTATGAGAGAGCATACTTCTGCTTGGATATATTGAACCTCCTTCACACGAAATTCGGCATTCTCGTTCTTTTCCTCATTGTGTAGCATATCTCTAACCTGATTGGCCCAGGAGTCTTTCAAATTCTGATCATGACTGAAAACAGTCAAATCAATGTCACCATCAGGCAGGTAAGTCTTCAATGGTACAGAACCAAAGGTGCAGACCTACAGCAGCGAAAAAGGTTAAAAGGGAAAAACAGCAACAAGAAACTAAAAGGAGAAACCCACAAACATATCATTGAACAAAGTTCGAATGATGTCATTCAAACTCACTCGTAAAATGGGAACTTCCTAGATAGCCAATAGATATTACTATATCCGTTTCATTCAATTGATGAATACTATATCTAAGTTTCCTAGATAGGCCTAATGATGTCATTCAACAACACTTACTACAGTCCATAGTGAATGTTCTACCCTTTATCCTATTACAAGAAAGCGTCACAGTAGAACAAGTTTAAAACGCAAGGTCTTGTGTCTACCATTTAGAGTCAACCAAAGTTTCCAAGCCTACCCATCTCACATCATTGGGCAACTAAAACCTTGCATAAGTCAGCTAAAACCAAAATATTGCAGATTAGAGATGTTTTGTCTTGCATCCAAAAATATCCCCACATGCATTTTGATTATTTCCAAGCTACAAAACGACATTCTGAATAAAGAAACATTTTAACCTATATGTATATAAAAGAAAATTAGCATCACCAGTAAATATGGAAATGTACTTTAACAAAAAATCACATACACTCATTTGTCAAAACACAACTTCACTTGAAAAATAACTAAAATGGCACCAAATAAAAGCTCCAGTAACCTGGCATGGGAAGCACTTCATAATGAGCCGCTGTACATAATCTGCAACCGCATTTCTACGCTCCTCCGATACTTGGTTGGGCTGAATGCAAGCAATGAGCTCTGTAATCTTATCCTCTGCTCTCGACCATCGTTCGGAATCAAGATGATCCTCCAACACTGGCCCTGACCCTGGCACAAGCCCATTTGGCAATGGCCCACCTGACTCAGCCCATTCCTCGTTTTCTCCCATACAGAACTACCTCTTTTCCAACCTTGCTGGGACAGCCAAAGACCCCAATCGATTTTCTTTCTACTCGAAGTGAAAAAAATCAATCCTTCTACAGAACCATCCCCAAAAACGCAAAACTAGAGCAAATTAAAGCAAAGGCACCTGGATACCGGAAGCTACGTGATAACACTATAAGCGCCAATTCTATAGCAAGTAATATTGTGTCTACATACTGACAATTCAGAACCTCAAATAAAGAACTTCAAATTGTCAAGCGGAGGCAAATCAACTAAAAAGGAAACCTGCACCCCAGAAAATTACTTGATCAACTAAACAAAACCCTAAAGAAACTCGCTCCTAGAGCTTCAGAAAACACAAGGTCCCAATGCAGAAGAAAATCGAATGACACCNAAAAAAAAAAAACGATTTTAAATATAAGGGGTGAAAAAAAGAGAAGAAACTGCAAAGATCGCCCAAATATATATATGAAGGGAACGGATTTTGAATAGTTTGTTTATGCTTTTCTTGTCATAAATTGGGAATTTTCAGGAGAATCGCTTGACGTTTTGAAGAAACTGATTTGATTTTGATTTGAACTGGAATGTGTGTGTGTGGGTGTGGGTGTGTGTTTTAGTGTGTGTAAAAAAACAGAGGAAATGTGGGAAAAAGATGATGAGAAAAAGCTTCGGATGATTTTATTGAAATGAGATGAGAGCAACATTAGGAATTTTGGTTACAACTTAGACGTAATGAACTAAAATTATTTCAATTGTGAATTTCATTGTCAAGCATCTTTAAAGTTTAGAAATCATAAAGTAATATAATACTTCATTGTAATTTTGATAGGAGAAGAAAAAATAATATTAGAAAAATACAATTAAACTTGTTCGTTTCGAATTTCAAATGACATTTAGGAGGTATATACAATTTAAATTTCTACAAAAAAATGTATTTAATTGGGATTTCTAAAAACTTTTTAAAACTTTAGAAAATATATTTAATTTAGATTTGTTATGATTTCAAGACTTTTAAACATCTTAAGGTATTCAATTGAGATTTTAAGAAGTCTTACAAATCATCAGGTATTTCACTTATTTGAGACCAAGATTTGTTAATACTTTTTAGAATTTCTAAAGAAAAAATTTTATACGAAATATCACCTCCAAACTTAAGATTTCACATAATTCCTTCAAAATCTGAAATCTTAAAAAGTCTCAAAATGTCACTTGAAATCTCAATTGAATACACCCCTCAGATTTGTAAAGATTTCAGAAATTCGGGTGTATTTAATTTAGCCTTTTAAAGACTTTTAAATTTTTTTGAAGTATTTAATTTCAGTTCTACTGACTACACAACCACCATATGCTCAAGGACACTTTTACTTAGTATTTTAAGACTATTCTTATCCCCAACCCAACCTAACCCAACCTAATAATTAAAAATTATTTGAGGAAATTGCACCCTCTACATCAGCTGCCCTAATATATTATAAACTTACAACTGTTTGTTAAATATTTATGTAATTACCAAATTAAGCATAAATTATTGCTAATATACCTAAAATTATAATTAGGGAGTTATATCAGATAATTAAGGAGATTTTACCTAAAATTACTCTCTGCTATCATTACTCTCTCACTCTCTCTGCAAAACTTCTCTCGCCCCACGTTCATCCTTCTCAACGCAAAGAAACCGTCTTCAATGGCCAAGACCAAACTACCAATTTCGACTCCAAAAAAACCGATAAATGGTGCCGACGAAACCCGACGGTCCTCTGCTCTTCTCAACCCGTCCAGATCTGAATTTTTCCGGCGAGCCATCATCAAATCGCGTCTGCAAGTCCATCCGCCGCCGCCCTACCAAAAAATCCAGCTAGCCACGCTGAACGACCGCCGACCACAATCCGAGAGACGACCGCTGCTGAACGATCAGAAAATTCAATTGCAGCAGGTCCGACGCTCCTCTACTCTTCTCTCGCGAAGGATTGCACCATCTTCAACCTTGGCCGCTGTTCTGAAATCTCGTGAGAAATCCCGCGATCAGACCCGATTGGTGGAGGAAACGGGCTGTTCGATCCACCGTTGAGATGAACGACCCAACGCACGTACAACTCTTCCAGTTTCAGTCACGCCATCACCAATTTCTCCCGACGAGCCATTATAATTAGGGAGCCAGTCCATCCAAAGCCCAAACCAGTATATGTTACACAAAATATACTTTAAATATACACTCGAGTTTCAATCGTTTCTCAAAATATACACAAAATATACTTTAAATATACACTCTAGTTTCAATCGTTTCTCGAAATCGATTTCAGAACCCACATATACATAAAATATACCTAAGATATACACTCGAGATCACGTACATGAGACGAGCAGACACAAAATATACTCAAAATATACACAAAATATACTTTAAATATACACTCGAGTTTCAATCGTTTCTCAAAATCGATTTCAGAACCCACATATACATAAAATATACCTAAGATATACACTCGAGATCACGTATATGAGACGAGCAGACAAGAAGGTCTCAGGCGGTAGTTGAGCAGGTCCAATTGGTCATCTTTTCTTAAATATGGAATATGGAATCAAGATCTGTAACTGATTTTTAGGCAACAATATAATTAATTACTAGCTATTAGGTATATACACAATTAATTGTGTATTAATGGTAATTTTGCAATATTCCTACAATCGTGTAGGATAAGTGAAAATGTCCCAAATTATTTCTCTCTCCTCCACCTATACAACTCAACCTTACAATCAAATTTATCTTTATCCCCAACCCAACTCAACCTAAATATTTATTTTATTTTAATTTATCTAAAAAATACAATTGTGTTCCAAAATATATCAAGTGTGGTCTCTACTTGTAGAGAATAAAAAAATATAAATTTTAGTATTTATTTTTTATTTTTTTAAAACAAAAAAAATATATTTGACCAATAAAAAAGGGACAAGTGTCCACTTTTAAAAAGCAACCGGTTGCAACCTTGGGTCACATTGTGACCTCGGTTGCACAACCTATTGCTTTTCTTTTTTATTTTTTTATTTTTTTTTTTAGTTTTTAATCGGTGACCCACTCTTTGAGGTCACCAATAAAAATAGTCTAACAGGTATAGATAGGGTGTGCATAATTCGACTAAAATCGACCAAACCGACCGAACAGAAAAGTTCGGTTCAATTTTTATCCGACTCGGTCAGTTCTTGGTTGTAGTCGAATTAAATTTCGGTTATTTCGGTCGATTTCGGTTTTTGACATCAAATGTCTGAAATAATCGAACCGACCTAATAATATATGTATAAATTATAATATATAATATTATACTATATATTATAATAATATATTATATATTATATATTATAATATAATATTTTATAACCTAAACATTATATTATATTATACTATATATTGTATCTTTGTTGTTGAACTATTGTGTTTGGGCCAATAAACAATTTTAAAAAAAAAAAATTTGTAAAAGTTTGGTTAATCGACTGAATAATTTGGTTCGGTTATACTTCGGTTTTAAGCACATATTTCGATTGGTTCGGTTTCAGACATGTAGTAATTCGGTTAGTTCAACTTTTGTATTTCAGTTCGATCGGTTGATCGAACCGACTGATGAACACCCTTAGGTATAGAGTTATTTTTGTTTTTATTGCTTGTAGAAGCCTTACCCCTAATAATTTCACTACCAGAGATTGAGTTACTATTACATGTTAAAATTGAGATATCTACAAGAGCATCACATACAATTTTATCAAGAATAATGCTACTTTTATCAAAATTGGGTTGTAAACTACTCTTACAAGCTGACCCCTTGTTAATCTCAAGTTGTTGCCCTTATAGACATTGCCCTATTTATATCATATCACTAGACTCAAAGACCAAAATTTGTAGGACCAAGCTTGACCAATTCAGAATTTAGACTCTTATTAGACCCTTCTTCGTCACTTTATTTTTTAAAGAAAACCCCTAACGGATGGATTAACAGTCCAGACCTAAAAAGTCCTGATTTAAACAGACTACTTATAAAGGGTTTTAACCCTATTTTTTGTTCGGGCTAAACGGGTCGACTCATCGGGCCAAGACCGTTTAACATCTCTAGTTTCATCTGATGTGTAAGTAGATAAATAAGTTTCTATTAAGCAAGATAAAGAAAATTACATTTTATATAACATCAAAGTGTACTATGAAATTTGGAGTGTAGTAGTCGATGGAGTATCAAGATAAGTGGTCCTTCTAGGAAAACAACATGGCTGGAAATATAATTTTCAAGAAACTTTTGTCTGTAGTACAAGATGGATGAGAATATTGAAGAAAAAAAAAATGTAAAAGTGATTGAAGGGTTTTGAATTGTTAATGAAAATAAAAATATAATTATTAAAACTGATATAATTTTAAATAGTAAATGCTGATAGTAATGATTGAAATTAAAATTATAAGAGTGAATAAAAGTGTTAATTGGTATATATGTTGTAATAATTATTTGCTTATGTTTAAATTATTTTTAATGACATTGGGTACAAGAAAGTGAGATATAACGAATAATATATTTTCCGAAATTATTTTAAATCTAAACACAATTTGAGTGGAATTTTTTTAGTAAAATAAAAATAATATTTAATTTTATACTCAATTGCCCAGTTAACTTTCATTATTCTAAATTTTATTTCAAATTATTGATTGTGAAATATATATAATATTCATAACTTCGAATTTATGATATTTAGGATGGTGAATTCCCCATATTTTTTTTTTCCCACAAAACATGATGAATGACCATCTCATGCTTTAGATGGCTCCACAATTACAATTGTCTTCTACAGCTTGCACGCTCAAGTCCATGGATAGTTTTAACTTTTACACAAACGTGGTGTATCTTGAATGTTGTTGGGCCCCTCCGGTTAATAATATTTCTAACCACAGCTTTTCAAAAATCTTATTTTTCTCCCCAAAAGATTTTATTTTTATGCCAACATTTCATCTGCATTATTAATCTACACAGATATTCATGCTTCCTGCAACCTTAGCAAGATTCTTGAAAGGAGAGCAATTGAACTCTTTAGTATTATTGATTTTCTCTTTTTCAATTTTCACATATTCAAATTTCTTTAGCCCACCAAGTTTTGTGGGTGGGTTTCTAAGTGAAGTTTTTGCTTCTCTAGTTACCTGGGATTGCATAATTTGTCATATAATGTCTTGAAGCTGGGACATTTGAAGTTGGGAAGCTGTTTTGAAAGGTACTTTCCATTTTATTTTATTTTTTTTTAAAAAATATTTATGCATATGGGTGTATTTAATGTAGTTTCCTAAATAGGTTGTCTGTGTTACTTGTCCAGAATGGCTATTAAAACTGGGTTTCAGTAAATTGAGTTAAACTGACAAAATATCTGTGAGAAGAGTGGGAAGCTCTGGTGCCCTTATTTCCTTGTGAGGGTACAAATGACTCATGAAGGGGTATTTTTTTTCTTGCATTCAATTCAATGTTCTGTTCCTCTTTTTTTTTTACCCTCCTTTTTCCCTTTTTGTTGTCGTTGTTGTTGTTGAGAAATCAATGGACTGAAGTTATAGTGAAGTAGTGTGGATTTTTATTGAAGTACAATCTTGGTTTTCTATGATTGTAATGCTTATTTAGGATGATAACGTTTGGAAAGTGGAAATTTGCCTGTAGCATTGTCTGTGATGCAAAAGTAAACATCTTTTTTTGGTGTCTGAACTCTAATACGTGTGTTTGTGCACAATTTTGGTTATGTTCCTCATGATATTTAACTAGAAAAGAAGAATCTTTGAATAAGAATCACTGATGATGCAACGGAACAATTCTTGTGTTTAAGAGATAAATCACTTGGCTTTCTTCTAAAAATCAGAAGAGTGAAATAAAAAAAGAGACTTGTCATTACTTATTTCTCTCCATTTTCTGATCAATACGAATCACATTTTGGCAGATTGCAGTTTTCATGGTCTCGTTCAGTCGTAACTTCTTCAATTCACTAGACCTGAATTATTTCATTATGGTAAGTGGCCTGCTCACTTGAGTAATATTTGCAATCATCTACTATTTGTAACAAACACTTCAGTGATTTTGCAATTGTTATTTGTAACAGGCAAAACTCAGGGCAGTTTTTGTAATTAAACTCCCTTTAATTACTTTAAGCATCCTGAAAAACTAATATTTCTCAGGTTGTGATGTGCTTTAGTTTATCGTGGGTTCGTGGAGGACAGCTGTGAACATTCTTTGAGTTGAAATGGAAGACATGAAGGTTCAGCTAAAAACATTTTACAAATACTTTCTCAGTTTTCTTATAATACAGTGTAAGTTCTTGTAATATTGTATTGTTGGTTTAAGTGCTTACCTAGGCTTTTTACAGGATCAAGAAAGCACACAGGATGTAAAACCTAATAATAACAGTATTATTCCAAATGATTCACAAAATGTACAACTAAATATTGCATCAGAGACTCCTGTACAGGACTCGGGTTCTGTTTCTACTTCAAGCAATAACAATCGAAAAGTTTCGCGTGAGGATATCGAACTTGTAGGAAACTCTTTGTTCTAGTTGCTTTTCTCTTTTTCTTTTTCTATTTTTTTATTTTTATTTTTTTTTTATTTTTACCCGACACGAAAATTTATGCTGCTATATAGGTTCAGAATTTAATCGAACGGTGTCTGCAATTGTATATGAATCGAGATGAGGTGGTAAAGACTCTACTCAATCGAGCTAGGATTGATCCTGCATTCACTACATTGGGTAGGTAATTTTCGAGTTACAATACATAAAAAATCAAACTAAAACATAAGTATAAAAACCATACAATCATATTGTAATGCAACTACATCATCT